TCTATGTTTCTAGATATCGTATCCATAAACAATTACAGAATACAACATCACCCCCTCCCAGTCTCGAGGTACATTTGCAGAGAGACGAGCTAAGCTTGCTGTGATCGTTTGTTGCGTCGTGTTGGGCTGTCCGTGGATGAATCGGTTGTTGCTCGTTTGCGTTTTCTCGTTGATGCTGGAAGGTCGTTGTTGGTGGAGTGAGTTTTTCTTCGTTGCCAATATGTCTTGATAGTCTTGTCATAGGAAAACTTGTCAGGTGTTAACCAGGAGTCATCTTGTGGTCCGTATCCTTTCCATCGGACTAGGTATTCGCGATTGCCGGCTTTGCCACGGTGATTGATAATGGATTCTACTTCATAAAGCTCATCGGCGGGAACTAATTCCTCTTGTTCAACCAATTTGAGCTCTAAGGGTGTGTAATTGCGAGGGAGTAATTCACCCGTTTCATCTTGCAATTCATATGCACCTCCATTGTTTTTACGTAGTACCCTATAAGGGCCTTCATATACCGGTGTTAGCTTGCCTGTACGCGTAGGTATTTTAACCATGACATGATCTCCAGGTGTAAAGTTTATGATGTTATGTGTATTGTCAAAGTGCTCTTTTTGTTGTTGTACCACAAAGTCTGTGCGCTCTTTTATAGCGGGGAATACAATGTTGGTCATGTGCTCGATGTTCTCTAAAAGCTGTGCCTGTGTCATAGGCCTAAACACTTTGTCATTCCTGTAATCGCGAAAAGGATTGAGCTTCCTTGCGAACATTAATGTGAATGGTGGTGTGTTTAGTCTTTTGGATATTTTGTTATTCAATGCCAATTGTGTGGCTGGTACAAAGTAATCCCAGTCTTTGCTGGTGCCATCTATTGATTTACGTATGATCATGACAGCTGATTGGACCCATCGTTCTGCTAGCCCATTGGCTTGTGGGTGATACGGTGTGGTAAGTCGGTGATCAACACCGATGTTGTCAAGCACTTCTTTGAGTAGCTGATTTTTGAATTCAGCACCGTTGTCAGATTGTATGATGCGTGGGTATCCAAAGTCTGAAAATACTTTGACCAATTCTTTGGCAATGGTTACAGCTTCTTTGTTTGGTATAGGCCTCAATAGGCAGAATCGGGTGCACACGTCGACCAATATTAACAGGTATTTGTTGTGGCTGTCGGATTCCTCGAAATCACCAGCGAGGTCCATAGCCCAATGATCGCCTGGTAAGTATGCGTAGATTGGTCTTAGAGGGTGGTATCCTCGTTTGCTAATGTTGTTTCTTTGGCACGTTTGGCATTTCTTTACGTAGTCTACTGCATCATGTAAGATGTTTGTCCAATGATAACCTTGGTTGTGATGTATGTCTTTGACCATGGCTTCAGCTCCAATGTGGCCAAGTAAATGAGATCTTTCTAGTATTGCGTTACGTTCTTCGATTGGTGCAGTCATGCGTTCATTGTCATTGTTTTCTATTTTGTGTACGCGGAAAACACGTTGTGTCTTGGATGCAAACCTTTCGGAGGTGATCCTTTTATGTGTTGCATCGCTTAACTCGCTTGGCTTATATGCCATATCCCCCTCCAGCCTTTTGGTATTCCCTTCAAAAAGGCGAGAGAGATGATCTGGTAAGATGTTTTTAGTTCCAGGTAAATGAACGACATTGAATGTGTAATCGAGAAGGGTGTCGAACCAATTAATCATCATGGAATTGGCGATAGGCTGAGTGAACAG